GTACTGTACTGTACTGTACTTTGTTTCATATTTTTGTGGTAAAAAAAAAATACATATGGTTCAGAACGGATTAACCTTATGTACATTGAACCTTATGGGAAAATTTGATTCAGTTGGCGACCAATTCGGTTGGCGACCACGTTCGTAGGGGTCAGAACGGATTAACCTTATTTACACTGAACCTTACGGGGAAATTTGATTCAGTTCGTAACATTTCTGAATGATCTACTAAAAGCAAAAATCTGGGCTGTACTCCTCCTGCCTGGATAAAGCCATACCACACTTTCCAAATGTTGTTCATCATCAACTCTCATTCATTACTGTCAAATACCTTCCCACACAACAAACTAACCTCCCTTGTAGTTATTGTATTCATTCTTGCTTCCTTTTCCTTTGTACAGTATCAACTTTCTTACATCTGTTAGACACAAATGGAGCTTTCTCATACACCCATTAAACAAATGAGTAGCCACTCCATAAGCAAATCAAATTCATATTTTAACATTTCCCCAATTACCATTACTGTATATACTCACAGATAAGCCAAGAATTTTAGGTGCCAAAAGGCCCCCCCAAAAATTGGGTTCAGCTTATCTGCAAGTATATATGGAAATACTTTTTAAAAGTACCCATATTTCTCATATATACTCGGGCATAAGCCCATCTGTGGATAAGCAGACCCTCGAACCATGAAAACCATGAAAAATGCAGGTTGGTTTATCTGTGGGTGGTGCATTTTTCATGGTATTTTGGTTAAAAATTCAAGGGTGGGCTTATTCGCGGATGTGCTTATACACGAGTATATACAGTATTCAACATTCTCACAGAACTGATAACTTCTTTTTCGTATTTTTTTCTTATGGCATCCATTTCAATTATATATTCAACATAACACTATCTTCCCTATACAAACCTCTAAAATGCTGATTCCAGCATTCCCTCATTTCCATTTCATCCAAAATAATTTTATCACTATTACTTTTTAATTCCATTTACACTGCTGGAAGCCTCTTGTTTAGCTTACTTCATCTATTTCCAAAACAACTTTATTTCCATGAAAATTGCTCTGTATTTTCTCTTCTTTTTTTTAATCTTAACAATTCCTGCTTTCTTTGACTATTTTCTTTGCAACTGTTTCTTCTCTCTATACACATTATATTTCTTCCTTATTTGCAGCAATCTTTTATATGCACTTTTTTCCTCATTCACAGCCTCTTTCATTTCATCATTCCACTAGTCATCCTTAGTGGAATACTATTAGTTCTGTGGTATGGTGTAACAAGATTATATTGGACTCTGTTCCAAGCAGCATCCATATCCTCTTTGTTTATGACCATTTTTCATTCATTGTAATAATTCAGAACATTGCACAACTTCTCCAAAAACTCCTATCTAGTTTTTTCTTTATCATCATTCACTGAAACATAACATGCAACTATCATTGACCTCTGGGCTCCTATTTTCATGCACACCCACAGCAATCTATACGACACCAATTCATATTTTCTAATAGACATTTTAGCCCTTTCATTTATAATTAAACCTACCTCTTCACTTCATGACATGTATGCTAGTCACCTTCTGGAAGTTCCTTGAAATGGAGTGTTTCCAGAGAACATTTGGAGCCTGATACCAAATACCTTTTGTATATGTTTGTCTATTTTATTCTGTTACATTTTATTTTATAAAATTTTCACTGTGATTTTTCTTTTATGTTGCGAGCCACCAAGAGTCTGTGTACAATTGTGGTGGGATATAAATGTGATATATTCAATAAATAAATAAGTAAATGTTAATCCACTTGACAAGATTACACCCATTTTTAATCAGATCTATTACAGTCTATCCTTCCCCATCTCTTAGTTTCACAGACACAGAACATATTTATTTTTGTTTCTTTTGTTTCTTTTGTTAATTTATGCTTTTTACCATTTATTCCTCTCACAACGCAATTTGCAATCTTCCATATGCCATGGTCATCCCCAAATGGGTCCACAGGTACTGATTTCTTGTTTCATCATGACTTAGGTCAACCAAGGGTTTTATATAATGGTTTTTAATAATTCAGGGAATATGTAGACTAAGCTAACCAGTCTTAATTGTACTCATGCCACAACAGCACTGGTCAGTTTATGGCCAATATACCATAAGCACAACCAAAAGCCTAATTTTACCCCAAGTATGCTCATGCGATTTTAGGTAAGGTCAGTGTCTAATCCAGAGACTACTTTGCAAACCAACACATTGTTGGCTGGTGTGGGTCTTCCGGGCTGTGTGGCTGTGTTCTGGAAGTTTTGTTTCCTA